GTTCCGAGTTATATAATAAAGTCGGAGGGCGACCTATATATATGGTATTTGTGAAAAGGAAATTTTATTAAAAGCTACTAGTACCTACCGGGGCTAATACTAGGTTTATTTTTATTTGTCTTAGTAAGAAGATATGATATATCCCGAATTAGGAAAGAGAAATTACCCTCTACTTTACTAGTATATAAAAAAATCTATCGAGGGACCTCCTAGAACCTTACGCCTTCCTTAGCTTTATAGGCTAGGAGGGGATATATCTTTGGTGCTAATTGTAAGGTAAGAGTTACCTTAGAATAAGTATCGACTAGCCCTATTATACGATATCGTAAGGGAAGTTATTATAGCGACCTATCGTTCTAATCTATCTCGATTGTAAGCTATACGAGAGTATTCTAAAGCGGATACTAAAAGACTAATTTAACGATTTAGCTGTTTTGATTATACTAATATCCTCTCGTCTCGAGACTGCTATATAGACGCAAACTCTATATATATTTTCGTTAAGGATCTCCTGCTTATCTTATAGAATATTGTTTCCTCTTTAAATATATATCCTACGGAATTAGAACTAGTTATAATAATGTCGTAGGTAAGTCTTATCGTCTCTATTTTTATAGATAAACTAATAGATAAGATTCTCGACGGCCTATACTATCTTAGTAGTTTTAGACTTACGTAGTAGTCACTATCGTATGGTAAAATACTGCTCGGTATAAATAGTAGAATAAAGATCGGTTAGTCCTAGGCTCGTTCGAGTAAATACGCCGCTGATATTTCTTATAGCCTACTTAGATTAATACTTAGAATGCTTATAGACTAAGACTAATATAATATACGCTAATACTATTCCTAGAATTACTATAGCGCTTATATAAAAGTATAAGAAGGATATCGGAATTGCCGGAGTTAATGATTTAAATCGGTAGCTAGTCGACTTAGATACTTTCGGATTCTTATTAGTAGCCTCGACGGAATCTATTAAATTATTAAGAAAGGTAAAGTAGCTAGAAGTATCGTATCGTATTTACTAGATATTACTAAGATATTTATAGTACCCTCTTATCGCTACGAATAATTAACCTACTAAGGACCTCGTTATATTTATACGAGCTGTTTTATACGCCTAGGTTTTTACGAGTAGGTATAACGTAGCGCCGTAAGTCTCGATAAAGTTTAGTTAAGGGTCCTAAGCCCTAGTATATAAGGTATATATTCGTTAGAGTATAGAGACGGAACTTACTTTACGAGGTTCTATATTATATATCGAAGTGTTAGATCTACTATACTAATAGTATTATCCTATTATCCTAATACGTACTACTTATATATTAGGGTTAGACCTATATCTATAATTAGAAGACGCGCGTATTACGCGTATCGGTCCTAAAACGAAGAATTGGAAAGTAGAGACGGAAAGGGTGAAAGAAATATTAAACTATATAGATTGATATTATGTTATATATAAACGAAGATTGACTAATAGGAGAGGAAATAATTGATGAATAACAAATATAATATCGAAGAGATAATTAAGCAATTTAATAAATTTACTATTTACTTGTTAAATCTTAATAGCGTAGTTATATTATATTATACTTTCCTTGGTCTTTTAGAGCGCCTTTCTAGAGTCGGAGAAGTAGCCTATGGTAAGGCCTTAATCTCGTCCGCTATACCTATACGTGATTTAAGCGCTTACCTTATCTTTATTATATATAGTATTTGTTTTAGTAGGCTCGGAGTATTACTAATCGTCCGGAGAGTATATATATTTTAGGACTTGTGTTTAGTTTAGTAGGAGTAATAGGGCTAGCCCTTTAGGACTAACGATCCACGCGTTTTTGTTTACTAGTTGTTTAAGAACGGAGGGTAAGTTTGATAAACGATAAGTAGAATACCTAAGTAATTAAATAGTTGTAGTTAGACGTACGCGATGAGCATAATTATTATAAACCCGGAGGGAGCGTATCTAGAATAGTAATAAAATAAGCGTTAAGAACTAGTATATAAACAGTTAGGCTAGTATATATAGCGATAGAATACGTAACTCTCGAGAGGTATATATGGCAATAGACTAGAGAGCGTTCTAGTAAAAAGACAAAAAGGTGTAGAGTACGAAGCAATTATAAGAAGAGAATATATAGATTGATATATATAAAACCCTATAACCCTAAAGCTAAGCTAGGCTAAGTACGAAGGAGGTAAAAGAGTGAAGCCGCGGGGTAGAACGGTCTATACGTATTTTCTAGGAATATACCTTAATATACCGCTAAGAGTAGAGTTAAAACTTATATATAGCAACGAGAAGTATACGGGAAAGGAGCTTTATTAGGGTACGGAACTACTAATTAGATTTAGCGGTTCGAGGTAATTACTATATATCTATTGGTCGGACACCCTATTAGCGGTTTAGAATCGCGACTCTAGAAGACTGGGCAACCGCGATTCCTTTTTATATTATATAGGTTATAGGTATTTTGATCTAGATCTTAAGTATATTATTTATCGCCTACTACCGAATTGAAGGCTACTGCGGGGGACCTACTCTTTAGCTAATAAGCTAATAATACTAGCCCTTACTCGTATAGCGTGGTCTCTAGCTAAGAACCGTCGTACGTATTTCCCAATCGCTCTAGACTATCCTAAGACTAGATTAAGCCTAGAATGATTGGACTAGGAGAGAAATAGTATTAAGAAGTAGCTTATATAACGTTTTCCTTTCTATATCGCCGGGGCTCTTCGGTAGGACGTATTATAACTAATTTCCTCTTAAGAGGATTCTCCTATAAGTAGAGACTGCTTTTAAGAGATCTCTTATTCTCGGCCTTCTAAGTAACCCTTACTCTTAAAATAAGCTATCTAAAAATAGTCTATTGTTAACGTCCTTTTATATTACTACTTTTAGGATACTCTATATAGCTCTATTATAGTAATAAAAGTAGTCTCTTATCCTAGTATAACTCCTATTAGATTTCTCTCGGGGTACTATACGTCTTATCTGTAGTACGCTCTTATTTTAAGCTATATAAGTCTACGTATATCCTAAGAGGGGTATCTTTAGGATTCCTTCTAAGTAAATTCCGATGACCCGAGAGGATCGAAGCCCTAGTTTAGTATATATTTTGTTATTTATATATATTATTTTTATACGTAAAAATCTCTTATATTATATAGGCCCCGATCGCTATAAACGCTCTAGATAATCCCGCTCTACGCGTAGTAGCTTAATATTAGTCGAGCTTAGTCGAAAATCATAAATAATAACTAATACTATTCCTAAGGCTAGTATACCTCTAATTCTTATAAGTATAGCGGCAATATGGTTACTATAACTAGTAATTCTCTAGTAGTCGTACTATAATAAACAACGGTATAGTAGAGGGATATTATAAAATAGATATAATTACTTTAAGGAGCGATTAGTAGCGAGCTAGGAAAAAACGTACGAAGTACCGTTTAAAAAAGAAAGTAGGGGGGTAATAATAGATTAGAGGAGCTAATATGTGATTGGTTCCTCGCTACTACTCGCTCTACCTTAAAGAAGCGCTTTAAGTAGGCTTACTTTCTTCTAATAGAGCCCGCCCTAGGATAAGACTACCTTATATCTTTACTCGTAATATATTAAATACTACCTACCGATATCCCTACGTTAAGCTATAAAGTCGTAAGGATAATAGATTCTTACTACTAGATAGAAAGGATCTTAATTCCCTTATAGATAAGGCTCTAATAACCCTTCTTATAACGTATCGAACTCGGATAGGTCTAGGGGTAAGATAGGGCGTAGTATTAGTATAGTAAGCTTAGCCTATTACAGTTAGTTACGTTATAACAGTACGACTAGTTATCTTTATATAAACTAATCATCGGCTAGATACGGAGTCTAGACCGTTAAGGCGTTACTACGTTATTAGTAGCCCCGCGGTCTTACCCTTTACCCTAGAGATTAGGCGAGCCGGAATAGAAGGCGACCCCGCTGACTCGTTCTAAAAATAGCCTAAAAGTAGGGTTCGTAAGAGAGTCGCTAGCTAAACGTCTATAGCGCTACTAACTATAGGATTAGATCGCCGGCTAACCTAGAGAGTTAAGTAAGGGTAGGAGTATCCGCGATTTAAAGTTTTATAGTTTAGAGTTCGCGGTTTAGAGTTTGTAGTTCTAGATAGTAAGACGTCGCCCGCCTCTACTAGGTATCTTATATAATATTTAAGAGCTAATCATCCCTATAAAGGCCGATATATATTAAGACCTAATAGCTTAATTAGGGACTATTAGTATTAAGCAAGCAAGCCTTTTCCTAGAAAGGGATAGAGTAGGTACGTCTTTACTTATCGATAAGGTCCGTTAGATAATAACTATATAATATCCAACCCTCTAAAGCCTAGAGTATATAGTAGCGTATTACGCAAATAGACTAACAACGAGATAGGTAAGCCTATTCTCTATATTTAGAAAGAGTTTTCGCTAACTACTAGCTTCGTTATACACTATACTTATAGCGAGATTATAACGTAAGTTATCCTTCGAAGCAAACGGCTTTTATTAGAGGACGGAAGGACCGAGTAGTACAATTAAAATACTCGTCTTACTACGGTAACTATACTTTAAGGATTAGAAGGAGGACCGAATTTATCTATATCTATCTAACCCTCCTTTATATTTAAACTAAAAAAGCGAGCGGAGATAAAAGGCAAATATTAGATCCTCCCCCCCCCCCCTTATAAAGAGATGTTGAAAAGAGGGGTTATATAGGTATAAGTTATCCTATAAGACGTTAGGAGATATTAGATTTATAAAGTATAAGGTAGTCTTACTTACGTCCCTCTTATTAAAGAGGATACCTACCTAGCGTATCTAAAATTATCTTTCCCTTCTCCGGACAATTATATCTACCTATCTATCCGTATAACCTTCCGCGTTAGAAATACTTTTACTACTTTAAGAATCACGAGAGCTATAAATTCTATAGCTATCTCCTTTTACGATAACTTACCGCGGAAATTAGCGATCTCGGGGCAATACGAGTAACCGAGGAGGACCTAATAGCTCTAGAAAGCGCAATCAGTCGGAAATATTCTATATACACTTTTAACGTAGTACGTACTACTACGGTAAGAGGTATAGATTCTCGTACGATATGAATAAGGCTTCCGACTTTAGGTCAAACCCGGCTATATATTATCCTATAACCTATAATCTAGACGCTCGGAATTAATACTTCGACTAGAAGAGGTTCCTAAGAAACGGGATATTAAGATCTATATATTCTCTAATAAAATAAGAGGAGCTCCTTTAATTCTAGAATAGGGCTCTCGAAATTCTAGAAAGCGATAGTAGAGAGAATTATTAGTTTCTCGCTAAAGATCTTATAAATAACGAGCTTTATAGATATGATTTTATCCTAGTAACTATAGAGGCGTATAATTCTAAGGGAATTATTCTAGCTTATAATAAGCCGTTCCTTAAAGTTATTATCTATTATTCTCTCTTAGACTGTCTTTCTATCGAGTTATATATTAGCACTCTATATATATCCTTTAGTAGTACGAATAGAGATCGAGCGATTAGATATCTAAGTAATATCTGCTAGAGCCTTATAGGTAGAGGTAAAGAAACCAGCGAATCTGCCTCGGTTATTTTACTAGATACGGTGAAATTACTATTAAATACCCTTTACTAGCTCTTATTAAGGGTCCGACGCGCTCGATTTCACGATAAACTCCCCGTACTACTTAACCTAGCCCGCGAACTAGCCTCTAAAATAACGGAAGAATGCTCGAAAGCCGACCTCGACGGACTTTAGAGTAGAATAGAAGTTATATAGAGCCTAGTAACTAACGTAAGCTATAACCTTATTATACCTAGGGTATATAAGGGAGATCCCTAGAGGACTAGGCTAGTCCTATCGTCTTTTCTAATAGATATATAAATACCTAGCGGGAGATACGATAACGACCTCGTAGATATATCCGAAATTCTGATTCTTCCTACTCTTAGAGAGATTATTAATATTAATCTAGAATATCTACCCTCTACTAATTTCCTATAACCGTACTTTCTCGCCGACCTTTTATAAAGATATATTAATTTATCGTTCCGACTACTACGCTACGATATCTTTAGCTTAGCGAAAGATATTCTTAGGGGTCTATAACAGCAGACTGATTTAATACGAAGTCCTTATCTATTAGGTAAGGACAACGCGGTATATCTCTACCCGGGGGTATAAGTTTAGTATATATTTATTAATAATAGGAATAAGCTCGAAGTAACTATATCCTTTTCTATTCTACTATAGCTCTATAAAAGGACCTCTAAAGAGCAATCTAAATGGTAGGAAGACTCTAATCGACTTAATAAAGGAAGCCTTATCTACTTTTTAACGTCCTAAGGAACTTATAGAAAGCTTATCTTCCTCGAAGTGACCGTAAAGAATGCTTCTAAAAACCAAGTATACTAGAATAAGAGTAGTCTTATATCTAATAGATATTTACCTAGTATTACGGTCAAACTTACGGCTTATTTATAATATAAACTAATATTCCTAGGCTAGCTTTATAATAAGAGACTTACTAGTATTCTGGTTGAATTCTATGGTTTAATCCCTACTACGTTCGTCCCTATCCTAGAAAACCTATAACAAATCTAACGCGAAGGGGATTTAGTATTCCGAAAGTAGGTCTTGCTAGATTATAAGAGTGATAAAGATCGATATAATATCCCCCTACCGGTATATACGCGTAAACTAGGGTTTATCTTTCCCCTGACTTCGATCGTAACCCCTACCGCTAACAATATTATATTGGATCTAAGTACCTCTAAGTCCGTTGATACCTTAAAGCTACAAACTTAGACTAGTCTAGATTATAGCTAGTATTAGGGACTTATCGTAGCTCTTATACGAGAGTATACCCTAATCTAAGGCCTACTAGGCACCGGAAAGTCCTATTTAGGCGTTAAGGTTGTCTAAGCTCTGCTTAAAATTAAGAAAAATATAAACCTTAAACCGATTATTATGATGTAAGTAGTAAGTTTATACCTTCCGGTATTCTTACTTATAGGAACTATAGGTATTATACTAACTATGCCTTAGACCAATTCTTAAAGTACCTTCTTGATGTAGGTATCTAGAAAGTAATATATATTAGTAGCCGTAGTTAGGCCCCCGAGCTTGAAGGTAAGAACCTTCGCGTTATTAGTAAAGACTTTAGGAAGACGAAGGTAGAGTCGCAGACCCTCGGTAAGTCTTATAGGGAACTCGAAGCCTATATAGAAGATACTAGATATACAATAAAACCTCTATACTAGTCTTAAAAGGGCCTATCTTAGGCCGCTATAGGGAACTTCGTACGTAGAAAATGGCCTGCTATATATAAGTAGCTTGACCGACCGGATCTAGAAGGGTTCAAAATTATTACGGATAACAAATTGCTTTATTGGCTTAGGGTTAAATCGATAAGAATCTAGAAAGGTTAGAACGAGGATAAAGTTAATATTATACGCTTAGAACGCTTAATACGTGCTGCCTAGGAAGATATTCATACTCTTACAAAGCCGGAACGCTAGATTCTTATAATAGAGTGGTTTAAATAGTAGCGGGAAAGCGAAATTACCCGGATTTTTAAGGCTATTAATCACGTTATAAGCCTTTATAACGATATCAATATAGTCTATAATAAGGTTAATCGCCGAGCCCTAATTTAAGTAGATATAATCGGAATCACGATAATATCCCTTATACGCTATATTAAGATATTACGCCGCTTAGGATTAAAGGTTATTATATACGAGGAAGTAGTAGAAGTAATAGAAGCCTACGTTATCTTAGCCCTTATACTAGGTATTAAGCACTTTATTTAGATTAGAGATTATCGATAGCTACGACCCTAGATTCAAAATTATTTACTTAGTCTTAAATTATCTATAGGAATAGTATAATAGCTAGACAGAAGCTAGTTTAAGAGACGCGCTCTCGGCGAGCTAGGTTTTAAGCCTACCCCTATTATATAGCTTAATATATAGCGAAGAATAAGACCCGAAATCTCGTAACTTATTAGGAGGGTCTATCCTAAACTCGAGGACTATAAAAGCACTATAGCTTTACCTAATATTATTAGAATAAGGGACAACCTCTTCTAGCTAGACTATTAATACGAGGAAGACTCGAGAGATAACGGCAGCCGTGTTAAGTCTTATAGCAACTAATAGGAGGTCGATATAGCTACTACTTTTATTCGGTATCTTATTCGGTAAGGAGAGTATAAGAGTACGGATATTGCCCTCTTAACCCTATATACCGGGTAGTTACGGAAGCTTAGGATATCGCTTAGTAAAGATTTTAAGATTTACCTTAGCGAGCGAGACCTAGAAACCTTAGCTATAGATAGGTTTAAGAAGGTAGAAGATAAGAATCCGGAGTCAAATAGTCGTAAGGCACTTAAGAAAAAGATATTACTTTAGACGCTCCGCCTTATTATAGTCGACAATTTCTAAGGCGAGGAGGCAAAAGTGATAGTGGTCTCCCTAGTTCGCAGTAACAAAAAGCGTAAGGTTAGCTTTTTACGTACCGAGAACCGTATTAACGTGCTCCTTAGCCGGGCTTAATATAGTATATACCTTATCGGAAACGCCGAAATATATCTTAATATAGAAATATAGGCCGATATCTACTCTTAGCTCTCTTATATAAATATAGTTAGTATAGAGTTAGCTCTATGCTGTCCTCGCTATCTAGATACGCCTATTCTATATTCTAAGCCTTACGACTTTAAAAGGAAGAGTCTAGAGGGTAGGTATAGTCTCCCGTATAACCGACGACTTAAGCTATATAGCTATTAATACTAGGCTAAGTGCTATTTAACGGTTATATACGACGGCTTTGCGTATAGAAAGCCTTACCTACGTATCCGATCAACCTATTACTATAAATGCCCTAGGCTTTGTGGTAAAGATTGTGGCCTTTACTTAACGAAGATTTAAGATATTAAGCTTCCTTATAGTTATATTAAGAAGGTCCTCTATTACTATTAGATATTAAATCTAGAGCTTATTAAGTGCGATATTAAGGTTGAAAAGGCTGTTCCTAAGTATAGTTATAAAATTAAGGTTAGCTATTTTAAGGATATTATATTCCCGATCTTCCGTTGCCCTAAGCTATATACCGATATCCTTAGCTATAGCTATAACTATAGTGATTGCTATAGAAATTGTCTCTAGGAAGTTATTAACGGAAGAAGAATAACTAAGTATCCGAAGTATATAAAAATATATAACCGTCTATATAGTATTTACAATTATAGGTGTCCTAAGGAATACCACGATAGGGAAAGCTATAGTTCCTACGAGGCAAAGTACGAAGTAAGACTTACAATTACCTATTATCTTATTATTATATAGAAACACTAACTATACTATAGGTCCGATACTCGTATTTAATATACGACTTAACTTACGAAAAGGTATATATACTATATATCGAGAAATATACCTAATCCTACGCTTATTAAGGCTCCTACTTAATGCCTTATACAGTACTATACAATCGACTTCCCTACAATAAGCGATACACTAAAAATCTTAAATACGGCTACTAGTGTCTAAGCCTCTATAGAGAAGATTGTCTAAATAATCTATATTAAAAGTATGGCGATAAGAGTGATACTCGTGTTGACTTTATCGAAATAAAAGACTATTCCGAAATTAACCTCGATAAAACTCCGATTATTGTGCTTAGATACGGTTATTTCTTTATAAGTAAGTCGGTTAATAGATTAGTTGGCCTAGATTAAGTATATATAAGGGATAAAGATAGAAAGTTCGAAGACCTCCGCGATCTCTCTTCTTCTCTCGCTATAGCTATACCCTCGTGCCCTAACTATAAATAGCCTATTCGCTAATTTGTGACGAAACGTTATAATCGTGTTATTAATCGTACTGTTATAGACGAGACTTATAAGCGGTTCCTTGCTAAAGGTCGTATAGACCTCGTAAACCTTAAATCGCGTCTAAATAATATTGAATATAAGCTTAACTCTAAGGGGGCGTTTCTGCTTTTTAGTAACGCCGCTATAAAGCTTAAAGCACTTAATATAGAGGCCTTAAAACTTAGTAAAACTATATAGGCCGAGAATCAACCGATAAAACGGCTTATAGATGCGATTATTACTAGCTAGAAACTGGAATAGGACGAAATTGCCTCCCTATTAGCTAGGATAGAGGTAACGAATCTAGTAATCTAGGAATCTAATAGTTAAATTACTCTCGGCGTAAGGCTAATTTAGATGAAATCCTAAGAAATTGCAATTATCTATTTATTTAAAGTTACGGAGTTAAGAAAAGATCCTCTAGAAGCATAGCTAGGTATTACTAAAATATTACTAATATTAACTCGGGTATTAGAAAATTACTAAGACTTGATAACTTAGGTATATATACGAAGTCTCTACCGTATCGTTATTACAGCAACTATCTTATTTGCGAAAATCGCCTAGCTGGACGCGTAGTATCGCCGTACTTATCTAGCAAAAGTAATATCGGATCTAAATCCTAAAGAAGCTAGCGCTAATTCTAGAAAGCTCGAAAATCGTACTAAAACTATCCGCAATCTCCTTACTATTACGTTAAAACTATGTGACGGACTAGGGAACTGCCCCGAGCTCTAAGAATAGGTCTAGGAAATAACCCGTCTCTACGAAGGGCCGCGATATAAGATAGTGACTTTAGAAGAATTAGAATTAATTAAGACGGCTATAGTTAGTAGGCGAAGAGGAATAGCGACTTACTCTAGGTATTAGTACAATTGCGTTAATAGATATCTAGTAAGTAAATTTCCCTAGTCTCGATCTATCTATTATCCTAAGTTACTTTAATAGGATAACTTAGCTAATAATGTTTTCTAGTTTACTATTAGAGAGTATAGTATACCGATAGAGTAAGCTAGATACCTAGAGTACGGAGTATCTATTAGAGGTCAAAACCATATAGCCGTTACGGGCGTATCTCGAGCGCGGGAAATAGAGTAGATAGAAACTATATTATATTTCGATTATAGTAGGAAAATATATATTTTCTTTTCTTTCCTTAATACTATATACAAATCTAAACTTAAATATTTTAGATAGTTTATTAAGTATCTATACCTTATCCTAGCTGTTAGGGATATATATAAAGTATATAGGATGTTTAGAGAAATAATCTATAGGACCTATATGGCGTATATAGGTTCCCCTAAACGCGAGGAAGCCTATTCCTTTTGCTTCCTCGCGCTACATTTTATATCTAGAGTCGACTATAGCTTTCTTTAATATTAACTACTTATCTAAATACGCTATCCTTATCTACGGATACGTAAGACCTTTATAAATAGATGTTACGTTACTAGGAATAGATACTATATTACTAGGAATAGATACTGCGTTTCTAGAAGTAGATTAGGATCTATAAAACTATATACTAATCGATCGATTAATTGATTTATAGTCTATCCTAGCCTTTTAGAAAATATTCTTAGCTATACTCGGATAATAGTAAGACTATCGTTTTATAGATCTAGCTCTATAACCGTGTGTATAAATAATTACGTATATAGAACTAAATAAGGATAGGAATTATAGAAGATAAGAATTTGTGAAGCCTTAGGTAGTAAGACTACTAGAAGACTAGGATAGTGGTTTTAAATAAGCTACCTCTATTTGTAACGTCTCGCGTATATATATATCCGACTAGGAGACTAGGGGACGCGTATTATAAGCCCTAAAACGACGTAGTATTAGTGGTCTTTAATATAGAGGACGTGGTAGTATTAATATTCGCGATATAAGTAAGGGTTATACTGTAAAACTAGATAGAATCTACTAGCGTTAAACTAAAATAACGAATTCTTAAATAGTAGTTAGAATAGGGTATAAAATAAAGAAGTAGTAAAGCAGAGGGTATAAGAGGATTAGAGTAGCGAATAAAAAGCTATAATTTAGCTATTAATAATATTATCGATAAAGTTTTAGGAATAGGGGTATTCTTTATAGGCGGAGTAATCTATTTATCTAACTTTATTTGTTTTAGGGTATAGCTTTATATATTATTAAATCGTTCCTATATAGTAGAATAATAAGTTTCGACTATTAGTAGGTTCTATATCTTATATAAGTTATAGAATATTAGAAATACTAGATATTTATATATACGTCTTACTTATCTTTTATAAGCTTTTATCTTAAACTATAGCTTCTATAATAGAGATAATATTATTTTATAATCTAGTTACGTAATAAATAATCCGTAAGCTATAGTAAATTCCGGTATTATTAATAATAGGTTGTTATATAAGACTTATTATATCTTAACTTTATAAAGTATAGCTTAATAACTCAATTTCTCTATTTTCCTACAAAAGGATACTTCTAGAACTTAGTAATAAAAATCGAATTCTCCTTTTTTCGTAAGTATTACCCTATTTTATACTCCGGATAACTCACTAATTTTATACTTAATATAAGCACTTCGTAAGGATGTAACTAAAATATATAATTAGATATACTTAGCCGGTATCTAGCGATAAGTAACCTAATAGTTTAGGTTGGCCTAGCTGACCCCTCTTAGTCGAGAGGGAGCCTAGGTCTTAATATCTAATCTTTTAGCTAAAGTAGTTGTACGATTGAATAGGACCTTTATAATAAGAAGCTTCTTAATATTAATCACTACTATTATATCTCCTTTTAGGTCGTTAAAATCCTAGTGTTTAATTAAACGTAATATTCTTATTAGGCTATTAGATATTACTATAAGGTCCGAAGGTTAGTTGCCTTTATAGTGGTTTTTTAAGATATCTTTATTAACTAGTGAGCTTTCGTATAGAGGGCCGCTATGACTAGAAGGTAACGTAAATAGCTACTTTAAAGAACGAAAACTAAGTTTTTTATCGAATCGATTATAGCTATCTAACCGAATAGCCTGATAAAAGATGTCCGGGGTATCTAATTCGGGCCGATTCGAAAGCTTCGAACGTTAGCTTAGAAGGAGTCTACTAAGATAATTAAGTGTTATTGTATCCGTCGGTAGAGTTAAGCGAGTATTAGTAAGCCTACTTCTAAGGTTTCCTCTCCTTTCTAATAATAGAATCTCCTCGTTCTCTTCGTTATAGTTAAGTCCGGGATATAAGATATACAACGCCCCGCCTAAGACCTATAATATAAGAAATACTAGACTATCTAAAAGAAAAATTTTGTTATTAAGAGTATTGATAAGCTTTTAGTATTTATTATTATAATTCTCCTATAATTATAGATTGCGTTTATTGACTTGGTTTTGTCTGATTTGTTCCTCTATAAGTAGATTGTCTTCGAAGCTAATATAGAAAGACCTCTTAACCTCGACTAGGCCGATTCTATATCTTTTATTAGGATGGCGATCGGCTATTTCGTTAAGGTAAGGAGTGGAAGTAGCGTATCTTATAAGCGATATCTTCTACCGGTTGAAGAGAAGCGGGGCGGTCTATTATAATTCTATTCCGCTAAGACAAATTTAGACTAAGACTAATTCTTACTAGAATTAAGATAGATCCTAGGGGATCCCGGACTATAAGGAAAATATCCTATAGGTACTAAATAAGTAATTATATGATAAACCCCTCTTAGATCGTTATCGGTATAATAACGATTTAATATCGGTACGACGATGATTTTATAGAATAAGGATTTATTAGTAGTACCTAATCCCTATTCCCTAGTTATAAGGATTATTATCTATTATAGATTACTAGTACTTAGCCGTACCGAGATTAATTATATTTTGCAATAAGCCGTATCTTAGTCTTCCCTATTCTGGTTTGTGGTAGCGACGGACTAAGCTCGTAAGGGTATAGCTCTCTATTACTACGCTTCGGTGAGCACGAAGGCTTATATCGTTTCTTTTTTATAACTAGACGCGGATGATTTTGCGGGAAACTATTAAGATAAAGTAGAGTATAAATATCGACTATAAGGGCAGAAGGACTTAATAAGTAGAAGTTAGTTTTACTCTATACTTAGAAAGTAGGGATTTAACGTAGTACGGCCTAACCCCGCTTTCTAAGTTAACTTATATAATCGGCTACAAAAAGGCAAATAGGTAGTAGGCTAATTAGAAGAAGTTTTTAAAGAAGTGTGTAGCAAAAGTATATAAGTAATAACGGCGAGAGTATAACAAATAAGCAGTAAGTATAAAGTACGGACGTTAGGGTTAGGAAGTTAGCTATTAGGGTTATAGAGGAAAGAACTAGTAAAAAAGGATAACCGCTAACCCTAAACTAAGATAATTAGAAGCGGGCGTGGTATAAAAAGGTAGCGAATTAAAGGAGGGCAGTGGGTCGAAGTAGCGAATAAGAAGCTAGGATTTAGCTAAAAGTAATATTATAGATAAAGTTTTAATAATAAGGGTATCCCTATAGGCGAAGGTAAACCCTTCCTTTTACTTCGTTCGTTTTAGGGCTTACAGCGTATAGTAGCGCGCGTTGCCCTAAAACGACGTGAAAAATAGGTGAAAATAGAGGTAAAAATGCCTTAAGCAAAGTCGGTATATAGCTTATAGCTAGGTAGTACGGAATATTTTCGGAGAATAGACTAATCACATTCTAATTGGAAATATAAAATAGACTCGCCTTAAATAGGGGTATTTATTTGGTAATTAAACTGGATAGATTCAATGCCCGCGGGATAAACTCTAGATAGCTAGTATTATAGGCCTAGACGCTAGCTATCTAGTCTATAGGCCTTATTACGTAGTACGGAATACGCCCCGTTAGTCCTCTAGTACTTTATCGAATATCTAAAGCTAATTCTCGAATTTAGCTTCTTTTATCCCTTATAGTAGTTGCGTGGAGTATTGCTTAGCAGCCTGCTTTATTTTTATTGTAGAGGGACTATTATCCCTTTTAATTAAACGTTGTATATCGTATACTCTTTTCGCGAAAACCCGGGCCCTCGATTTATCTTCATTTTCGGTGGCGATATCGAATATATCTTTATAAGCTCGAGCGAGACTTATATCCTAAACTCCCTCCTTATCGAATAGACTAAATATTATATATAAGAGATTAAGCGCTATCTTTATATATAGATTACCCTAGAAGAAACTTCCGATAGAACTGTTAATAAACTAAAGCTTCTTTAACCGTTCGTCGCTAAGTTTTCGCTAAACTTAGGGCAGTAAGCAGAGCTCGTATTTGTATTCGAACTTAAATTTCTACCTTAGAAAACGCTGCCGCTCTATAAACTCTAACGTACTAGGCAGATAAGAAATAGCTATTTCTTACCCTACTTTAATATCCTAGAGGGCGTTAATAGTAAGCTCCCTAATATCCTTATTCTATATATTCTAGGTATTATGTCTATAGGAATAATTGATTCGGGACGTATCGAGGAATAAACTACTAGATATATCGTTCGAGCCTACTAGAGGAAGAAAGTTGGTTCGAGTAATACCGAGGGAGTAGCTATAAGTATCACCGTAAATATTTATAAGGTCTAAGAAAGCGGCTTTTTAATTAGTAGTTAGGCGTTTTACTTTATTTTTAACGATAACCTCTAGGGCTTTAATATTAGGATCGCCTCGAGGTACTCTGAAAATTAGAGCTTCTGATAATAGACGTATACCCTTAGCTATCCTTTCTACCGTAACTAGTCCCTTT